ACTAAAGTATTCATAGTCATTAGTTCCTTGTATCTTATTATAGTTTTATTACTAAATGTGTGTTTTTAGTTATTACAATTTAGTCTTGATCATTTACCAAAAAAAAAAAAAAAAATCTTATGGATAGATCTTTAAGCTCCCTTAATCTAAAAGCTCCTCCTTCATTTTCATTTTTTTCTATTTTATCTGTTGAAGACACCAGAGAATTTGACCTACAGGGCTTCCCATAGTCTGGATGTTGATGATTGCATACTCTGGTTCATCATGTTTCTCTACCCTGTGCATGTTTAGCAAATTGGCCACTGGATCCAGAGGCTTAATCAGACTTAGGTTCTATCTCTATGGCATTCATAGGTGGTGTGTTGTTCACTGGGAGGCACATTCTGTCTGGTTTTCTCTCTTTCTGTAATGTTAGCAACTGTTGGTGTTCATTACCTGAATTTGTTAACCATTGGGGGGGGGGTCACAAAATGGGTGATTGGTAATTTTTTATTTTTTCTTTTCTTTTTGCATTCAGTAGTTGGAATATTTATGAGTCATACTTTCTCTTATCTCTTCTTTGGGTACCAATGATATAGCATGTATAGGAAAAGTAGTATAAATTCCTTTTATTTCTCTCTATTTATAATAAATAATTGGTGTCCTGTGTTTTTAATGTTATTATAAACACATATATTCAAACATACTGAATGGATTTGAATCAGTTGCAATTATGATCCTTTTTGAAACTCAAATCATCCCATTTTTGTCAGTGGGAACTTCTTCCCGTTGACTTCTGGAGTCTTCTTGAATGACCTAGTAGTTGTAGATACTATCCTTCCTATATGGTATGACCAAATATTCCATATTTATTTTAAATGTTTACTGGCTGCAACCTTGAATCAGATTACAGCCTGGGTGCTGGACGTACAGCCTTCTCTGTGGGCCATTCTTCCTAGGCCCCTTCAGTGGACAGAGCTAGGAACACAGACAGGTATAGACCTGATTATATGTGTGTATTTTGGAGATACTCTGTCACCTAGTTTTGCTGTAAATGTCCATTGACTTTTTAGTTTTTCCATCTAGTTGCTGTGTTTTTTATGTGCAGATTTGGAGGGATTAAATCATTTCCACTATCTATGTTAGTTAAGAGCCAATTTGCCATGGTAGTCAACCAGTGTTCCTCAGTACCCTAGCTGATTGCTACCCAAAGGATCAGTCTGTTAGACTTCTCATAAATTGCATGTAGAAATTCTGAGGCACAGATTCTCTTTCTGAAAATAGACTTTGCTCAGTTCTCTGTTCTCTCCATCATGTTCTGTTTCATTCCTTTAATGATTGGAGAGAGTTGCACTGATCATACCCTTATCACCCTACCTCCTGTAGGCAGTTTACAAACCCCAAAGATCAGCACCTGTGTTACACAGAAACGATTACACTGTGCGTGTTGACTCTGAATATACTGTGTCTGTGTCTAATATTCACTTCCATCCTAAAAATGAGATTTGGCACCATTGAGAAAGTATTGCCAAGGATGAGCTATAAGTTCTGCAGACAGTTTCCAGTAGGTCTTGGGTATTCTGGAGTAGTTATGTCCATGCCCACTATGAGTAATGTTTTTATCATAGAGAAGGGTAGTGTTTCACTCTAGGTAAGATATAAAAATAAAATCTTCTTTTGCAATGCCTCTAGGTCCCATTGACTTTGCAGCTAGAAGTATGAAGATACATAGCCATCTTCCCAAAGTAAGCAATCTGAGCTAAACACATTCCTTTAGGATCCCCTTCACAGAGTAAACTATTGGAAGTTACAAAAGGGCACTGTTTTATTATTAGGTGTTGAAACTTAATATATGTGCCATAATATATGTATCATTTGTGCTCTGGTTATCTTTTAAAATTGTGATTCTTTTTGAATAGCATTCATTTGTCTTATTGTCTAATTCAGTAGTTCTCAACCTGGCTTGGCAGTAGAATCACCTAGATTTTTAGCAAGACTGTTGTCTTGGGTCAAGCGCCAGTATTCTGGTTTAATTGCTCTGGGATTGGGCCTTGTATCCACGTTTTTTAAGAGCTTACCTGGTGTTTTTAACATGTAGCCTAGCCCTGTCTCGTTAGTTCATAAACGGATGATCTTTATTAAGTTTAGCTGGTTCTCATTAGCACCAATACTAGGAGTGTTTCTTTTAAAGCACAGTTTAAAAGAAACCAACACCAACAACCACAGCTAAAAAAATGACTTAAATTAATGCCAGTTCTATTGAGCCTGGCAACGTGTAAATTTAGCCAAAAGAACGAAACAGAGATTAAAGCCACAGAGCCAGAACTTGAACTAGGATCCCTAATGTAGATTAATATTTTCTTCAGCAGTCTGCCCACTGAATCATGGTCTAATTAAATAGTTCAGATTTAGTGAGTTTGCATTTAAAGTATTAGCAGATCTGAGAATGGGTAAAGCTAAAATGAGTTAGAATCTTTTCTGTAAATGGGAAGTTAAATTATCATACTAATTTGATTAAATCATTTTTAAATCTCTCAAGCTAAATCACAGCCTTTAAAGAATAGTTTGAAGTCTTAATTGCTGTTTGTGAGCATATCTCTCTGCTATTTGTTCTCGCCTCATTTCCTGTGACATCCTATAATATATCTCCTGCCGGGTAAGAGTAGTAGGAAAGGCAGGAGTTGCTTTGAGGGCTGAGGTAGCTGTGTAGCTGACTTCAAGCGTTTAAAGATACGCCACATAGAGAAAGGAAATTTATCCTGTGTCATTCCAGTAGTTAGAACCAGGGCCAAAGGATGGAACTTGAAGACAGATTTGGGAAACTATGAAGAAGACTTTTCTAATAATTTGTGTTGTTCCTTGTCAAGTAGATTACATACTTTGCATACAACTGGAAATATCTCCATTAGGAATGTTGTAAAGAAGATTGCTGATGAAGATGCAAGTTTGAATGAAATGAGCTCAGAGAACAATTTCATCTCATCATTTTTAAAAGGAAATGCCACGTTCAGTGTCGTACATTGTAGCAGTATAATTTGACTCAAGGAAACCCTAGTTTAAGCCTGACTCTGACACTTCTTACCAGTGCCACCTGCCATGTAGGTTCATTGGACATAAAATGAGGCAATATACACCCAAAATAGGTGCTTAATAAATGGCAACTTTATTATTTTTATCCTGCTTTTCTTTTGATCTAGTTGAAAAATAGTTATTTTGTTTTAATTTTGTTTTGTCTGTATCGATTGTAATTCCTATTTTCCCCATCCATGTATTCCCCTGTTTTCATGGAGAGCGCTAACTAACCTTTAGTCCCAAGGTAGGTTGGGTATGTCCCCCTCGTCTCCCTTCCCTTGTGTCCAGGGTCCTTACTGCAGTCATGTGTGTACCTAGAGACTCACCACGGGTGTGTGTCCTTGCCCCCTCCCTCCCATTTTTCCTTCAGGCAGCATTTTAGTACAAACACAGAAGGGAAGAGAGCGAGAAAAAAAGAAATACCAGAGCATCATCCCCATGAGTGTTTTTCCATCACTAACATTACTGACCCTCAAACAACTTCAGAAAGCATGTGTGCGCATTCCTCAGAGGTGACACCATAGGAAATGGATGAAATTGCCATGTAGAGAGGAACTAGGCTGGAGAGAGGCTGGTAGAAACCGTCCACATGCAGAGGCCAGGTCTGTGGTGGGGAATGTCTTAAGTTTCACTCCAGGGCACCACTGTCGACACCATTTCTCACTTGAAGAATTCCTTATTTTGGCTCTACCAGGCAGACACTGAGTCTTGAGTGATACATACTTACAAACAACCGTATTCCAGATTAAAATGTTTCATTTAGTACCTAATGTAAATAGTGGTCAGTTCACCAATGACATGGTAAAATAATTCAAAATGACAACGTAAATAAAAAAAATAAAATACAAAGAACTTTAAACAACATGTTAGTAGTTATATGTCTATCTTTTAATTACATTGCCATAATTTTTTATTATATGTTTAGCCACTTGATTTTAAATTATATTTCCTCTCTTTGTTCATGTGATCTATATTTGAATTGTATGAAAGATTAGGCTAACTACATATATCTTAGAGCTCAGCATTCTCAGAGAACTAGAATTATTAAACATGAAGAATCCCCCAAAGACTCCATTATGTGTAATTAACAGATAAACTGTCATCAGAATCAATAAAACGTGCTAAATGATTCAAACTTGTATATAATTAAGTGTCTGCTTTACAGCTAGAGCTGTAACTTTTATTTTTTCCCCACATCTCACATTTCTCACAAGAATAATTGTGGCAACCTTGTTAACCCTTTCTTTGCTTGACTGAATTCGATTTTCAAATTAGCCATTTAAGGGCAAAGTTCACCTTTACAGATGTGAAAAATATTTCAGAACTCGACAATTTAAAGACTCCATTTGTTTTTCAGCAGGGAAATAGACTGTGTAAGGATGTTTTAATGAACTGCTACTCGAACATTTAAAAATCCTAAAAGGATAAACAGTTTATTGTGATTTCTGTGCTAGATTCAATGTATTCCCATGGAGTTCTCAAGATGTTAGGCATCAACATTTTCCCCCCTTTGGGAAATAGCAGCTTTTTGCAGGCAATATCAGGATTTTAAACAACTTTGCCTCATACAACACATAGAATACTGCTTTTAATAGATGGCTTTCCATATTTGTTTGTTGAATGAATGAAAAACTACCCAAATGAAGCAATGAATAAAATAGTCAAGATTGTCATCTGTTAAAAGAAAGCCTTCTCATACTCAGCATTAGGTGGAAAAAAACCCACACTTTAAAAAAAAAATAGGTCTTTTGTAACAATTCCCATGTTTTAAACCAGTATTAGAAATGATCTATTATTGGGAAATTAAGGGAAAAAATAGAGATTTTAGAAATGTGAGATTCTGAAAAAGTCACAGCTTCAAGCTTAGAGAAGTTGGGGGATAATAACTCTAATCTATATAGGTTTGTTTTATTAATATAATTCTTTATATTGTTTGCCCCACTGTACAGACTCCATGCACATAGAAGATGTCGAAGCTGTTCAGAAGCTTCAGGATGTCTTACATGAGGCCCTGCAGGATTACGAAGCCGGCCAGCACATGGAAGACCCTCGTCGGGCTGGCAAGATGCTGATGACGCTGCCACTCCTGAGGCAGACCTCCACCAAGGCCGTGCAGCATTTCTACAACATCAAACTAGAAGGCAAAGTCCCCATGCACAAACTTTTTTTGGAAATGCTGGAGGCCAAGGTCTGACTAAAAGCTTCCTGGGCCTTCCCATCCTGCACCTTGAAAAAGGGAAACTAAACCCAAGAGTGATGTCGAAGAAACTTAGAGTTTAGCTCACAACATCAAAAACCAACAAAGACTGCACTGATCATTTAGCAGCAAGACTATGAAGCAGCTTTCAGATTCCTCCATATCTTCCCGATACGTTTCCTTCTTTGTGTTTTCTCTCATCTGCTTTTCTCCTCTTTTTTTTTTTTTCATTTCTCTTCCTCTTATTTGTTTTCTTCTTTTCTTCTTCCCCCTTGCTCATTTCTTGCTTCCTCATTACTGGTTCCCTGTCTCCTCCATTGCCTGCCTGCCTTGTTTCTTTTCTTCTTCTGTTCTCTTCCCTCTCTTTTCTCATCCTCCCCCTTTCTTCTAAATTTTAAATAGCTTTAGTTACAAAAAAAAAATTTTTTTTCCTTTCTTCCCTCTTTCCTTTCCTTCCTTCTGCTGCTGGACTTTTATAAGAGGTCTCTAACCGAAGAGAGATGGAAGCCAGCCCTGCCAAAGGATGGAGATCCATAATATGGATGCCAGTGAACTTATTGTGAACCATAACGTCCCCAATGACTAAGGAATCAAAGAGAGAGAACCAACCAACGTACCTAAAAGTACAGTGCAACATAAACGAATTGACTGAGTGCAGTATTAGATTTCACGGGAGCAGCCTCTAATTAGACAACTTAAGCAACGTTGCATCGGCTGCTTCTTATCATTGCTTTTCCATCTAGATCTGTTACAGCCATTTGATTCCTTAATTGTTTTTTCAAGTCTTCCAGGTATTTGTTAGTTTAGCTACTATGTAACTTTTTCAGGGAATAGTTTAAGCTTTATTCATTCATGCAATACTAAAGAAAAATAAGAATACTGCGATTTTGTGCTGGCTTTGAACAATTATGAACAATAATGAAGGACAAATGAATCCTGAAGGAAGATTTTTAAAAAAAAAATGTTTCGTTTCTTCTTACAAATGGAGATTTTTTTGTACCAGCTTTACCACTTTTCAGCCATTTATTAATATGGGAATTTAACTTACTCAAGCAATAGTTGAAGGGAAGGTGCATATTATCACGGATGCAATTTATGTTGTGTGCCAGTCTGGTCCCAAACATCAATTTCTTAACATGAGCTCCAGTTTACCTAAATGTTCACTGACACAAAGGATTAGATTACACCTACAGTGACTTTGAGTAGTCACATATATAAGCACTGCACATGGAATACAAATCCGTAGAATTATCAGGAGTGCACCTCTCTACCTAGGAGGTATGTTGCCATAAGATTTCTAGCTGCCACAGTAGTTAGGAATGAGATACTGCCTAAACGTTTGCAAAGTTATAGACCTTGTCTCAGAAGGAGCTGTGAGCCAGTATTCATTTAAGAGGCAATAAGGCAAATGCCAGAATTAAAAAAAAAAAAAAAATCATCAAAGACAGCAGACGCCTGACCAAATTCTAAAACCTAATCCATATGAGTTTATTCATTTAGGAATGTTTGTTTAAATTAATCTGCAGTTTTTTACCAAGAGCTAAGCCAATATATGTGCTTTTCAACCAGTATTGTCACAGCATGAAAGTCAGTCAGGTTCCAGACTGTTAAGAGGTGTAATCTAATGAAGAAATCAATTAGATGCCCCCGAAATCTGCAGTCGCTGAATAACCAATAAACAGTAACCTCCATCAAATGCTATACCAATGGACCAGTGTTAGTAGCTGCTCCCTGTACTATGTGAACAGTCTTATTCTATGTACACAGATGTAATTAAAATTGTAATCCTAACAAACAAAAGAAATGTAGTTCAGCTTTGCAATGTTTCATGTTTGCTGTGCTTTTCTGAATTTTATGTTGCATTCAAAGACTGTCGTCTTGTTCTTGTGGTGTTTGGATTCTTGTGGTGTGTGCTTTTAGACACAGGGTAGAATTAGAGACAATATTGGATGTACAATTCCTCAGGAGACTACAGTAGTATACTCTATTCCTTACCAGTAATAAGGTTCTTCCTAATAATAATTAAGAGATTGAAACTCCAAACAAGTATTCATTATGAACAGATACACATCAAAATCATAATATTTTCAAAACAAGGGATAATTTCTCTAATGGTTTATTATAGAATACCAATGTATAGCTTAGAAATAAAACTTTGAATATTTCAAGAATATAGATAAGTCTAATTTTTAAATGCTGTATATATGGCTTTCACTCGATCATCTCTCAGATGTTGTTATTAACTCGCTCTGTGTTGTTGCAAAACTTTTTGGTGCGGACTCGTTTCCAAAACTATTGCTACTTTGTGTGCTTTAAACAAAATACCTTGGGTTGATGTTTCATCAGCCCAGTGCTAGGAATACTGTGTATCTATCATTAGCTATATGGGACTATATTGTAGATTGTGGTTTCTCAGTAGAGAAGTGACTGTAGTGTGATTCTAGATAAATCATCATTAGCAATTCATTCAGATGGTCAATAACTTGAAATTTATAGCTGTGATAGGAGTTCAGAAATTGGCACATCCCTTTAAAAATAACAACAGAAAATACAACTCCTGGGGAAAAAAAAGGTGCTGATTCTATAAGATTATTTATATATGTAAGTGTTTAAAAGGTTATTTTCCAGAAAGTTTGTGCAGGGTTTTAAGTTGCTACTATTCAACTACACTATATATAAATGAACTATATACAATATATACATTGTTTTCACTGTATCACATTAAAGTACTTGGGCTTCAGAAGTAAGAGCCAACCAACTGAAAACATGAGATGGAGATAATGTTAAAAGAATGAGATACAGTTTTTAGTTTTCAGTTTAAATGACTCTCAGCATTACAAATGAATAAGTATCTCACAAATAGGAAATAAAACTAAAATGTAGATCTAAAAGAACTGCACGGGCTTTAGGGTAAATGCTCATCTTAAACCTCACTTGAGGGAAGTTTTTTCAAGTTTCAAGCAAGACCATTTACTTAATGTGAAGTTTTGGAAAGTTTAATAAAGGTGTATGTTTTAGCCGTATGATTTTAATTTTTATTTTGCTTCTTTTTAGGTTCTTATTTAAAGCAATATGATTGTGTGACTCCTTGTAGTTACACTTGTGTTTCAATCAGATCAGATTGTTGTATTTATTCCACTATTTTGCATTTAAATGGTAACATAAAAGATATAAAAAATTTAAAACTGCTATTTTTCTTATAGAAGAGAAAGTGGGTGTTGGTGATTGTATTTTAATTATTTAAGCGTCTCTGTTTACCTGCCTAGGAAAACATTTTATGGCAGTCTTATGTGCAAAGATCGTAAAAGAACAAAAAATTTAAACTGCTTATAATAATCCAGGAGTTGCATTATAGCCAGTAGTAAAAATAATAATAATGATAATAAAACCATGTCTATAGCTGTAGATGGGCTTCACATCTGTAAAGCAATCAATTGTATATTTTTGTGATGTGTACCATACTGTGTGCTCCAGCAAATGTCCATTTGTGTAAATGTATTTATTTTATATTGTATATATTGTTAAATGCAAAAAGGAGATATGATTCTGTAACTCCAATCAGTTCAGATGTGTAACTCAAATTATTATGCCTTTCAGGATGATGGTAGAGCAATATTAAACAAGCTTCCACTTTTGACTGCTCTTTTGTATTGTGTTTCTTCCCCCCCCCACAAAAGAACCAAATCCATAAACACTGCCCCTTTGTTGCTTCCATTCAAAGAGTATCTCTGAGTACCTATTCCCTAAAAATAAAGTAGGAGTTTAAATAAGAGCTATATAAAGGCTTGTCAGAATGAATCCTAGGGTGCCAAGAGACATTTTGCATATTTAAGAGTATGCAAAGTGTCTCATGGCACATTAGAATTCATTCTGACAAGCCTTTATATAGCTCTTATTTAATCTTAAAGCATCTCCACATCATCCTGCATTACTCAAAATCATCGCCTCTATGTCAATGTCATAACAGAAAACTTTCCCCCTATTTTAAGATCGTATTAAAACCTGCTAGAGATACCTATTATTTCCCTCTATCAACAATTAAATCATTCACTGGCACTGAGCTCATCAGCAAGCTGCGGGCCGTGGAGCAGCCGTGGAGCTGCTGACCAGGTTTCCTGAATGGAAAGTCAACAGCAGAGCTTCGAGATCAGCGTGAGTTAGGAGGGGATGCTGTCTTCGAATTCCAGCCGGGGGCTAAACAGCACTGCTGACAGCAGAATGGCCTCTGCTTGCCTTTTACACTTGGAGAGGTCACAGCCCATGCTGCTCAGGGTCAACTCTTAGCTTCCACTGGAGCCTCCTGGAGCCATCACCGAAGTGCTAATATGTGCTTTTTTGGCTTCTCTGCCTATTCTGAGGGTGTCTTGTCTTTGTGTTTGCCCACCGTATTTCTCACCTTTCAGAGGTGGCTGGTTCTCTAGAGAAGCAGGCTGATGACACAAAGGCCACTAAACTGAATCAGTTTTAGGGGCATGAAATTACCTAAATCACTAAGATGCACTAGCTAGCAAGATAGCTCAGTACTGTCTTTTTCTATTTTAATGTCCTTTGAGTGGCAACAGCTCAACATAGAATCTGACATGTTTTACTTTTGATATTTTCAAAGTGCTTAGGTGAGACTGAAGCAAGGCAAGATGCAAACCTAAGAGGAAAATCACATCTGTAATGTTCCAGTGAGGTCCTCATTATAAAATATGTTACACACACACACACACACACCTTTAAGAACTAGGAATTCTCTTGCTATTTTTTTGTAACAAAATTATTACAAGGCACATTTTCTGGTTCTGACCTTTATCATGGATGCCTCAGGTGTCAAAGTCAAATTTTGACATTTCAGCATGTTGTGTTTCTCAATATAGAAACAACAAATAAATCTGATAAATGGGTTATATGTTTGTTTTAAAGGATCACTTTTATTTTTGCAAGTGTTTTATTTTTAAACCAGTGGTTCCCAACTTTGCATATTGGAATCACCTGGGGAGTGTCAAAAATTCCTGATGCTTATATCCTACCCACAAAGATGGTGGTTTCACTGGTCTTAGGTGTGGCTGGGCTTTGGACTGCTTGGATTAGATTGCTACATGATTCTGATGTAAAGACAAGATGGGGAGACAACTGCTTTAAATTTTTATACTTCTCTCAAACTAGCGAGGAATATCCTTAAAGAACTTTTATATGTTGGCTCTGAATTTTTGTTAAAAAAATTTTTTTAAATAACGAAAGGACTTAACCTTTTTTTCTCTCTCACATAAGTCAATGAAATATACTTCGATTATTTTGACCTTTCCAAAACACATGGAGAACACATTTTTTTGATGACTCCTGAGCCATGCCTTCTGGTTATGTCCCCTTGTGAAAATGGTGATGGCTGCTCGAAAACTTGTGTGCCAAATATCTCACAATCCCCTTTTTAAAAAAAAAATCCTGCTTATTTGGTTCATTAATGTGCTTTAAAATTAATTTAGGTGTGATTGAAAATACCTGTATTTTCCTATTAAGAACTCAAAAAGCAACAAAAATTAGAAAATGTTGATCTCTTGGAATGACTTCCATTGCCTATATTTTCCAAGTTGTTAATTAAGGTGAGAGGTAGCAATGAGATAGAAATGAGACAGACTATTTCGTTCTTGGGTCTCTGCAAAAACCTTAGATGTGCTTTGCTTATTATGAAACTTAATTTGTGATTAACCTATGAAAGAAAAGAGAGATATGCTTAAGGTTTTCGTTTCATTCACTCTGGTTTATACACTGAATGGATAGTTCCACAGTCCAATAGGTAAGAAAATGTGTAAGTCAGTGTGTCTGGCCCTTTTGAATCTCTAAGTCTAGCTTCTCAGACATTCCTTGGTAGTGTGGAAAAAACAAAATGAAGCAAGTAGCAGTAGATTGATTGCGTACTGCATCTTATGATAAAACAAAATAGAAAAGAAAGGAATTTCAAAATATAATCCTCCTTCCCCAGCAGTATTTGTCTTGTTCTCTGTGAAGTTAAAGGTCTGAAATAATGTGACCATCAGGGGCTCAATGTTGCATGTCCATGCCAGTTGGTCCAAGGGCTTGTTATGATGGTAATGACCTACTGAAACGTGAGGTTGGATTGCAACAATACAATTGCCACCAGCTCACCCGCTGGGAGAAATATTTTATTATTGTCAACTACCCTCCATAGAGATTTGTTTTGCCTGTTTCTGTTTAAATTAAATTCAAAGCAGAACTACATTACTATTTCTCTGGAGTATATTTCAGATAAACAACTAGTCTCAAAATTTAGGATTCCTGGCTAGTTCAAATTTGTTTATTAGCAGAAAAATTACAATAGGTGACACCATAGCTGCAGGAATATTATGGTTGCAGCCACACAAGAGATTTACATACTGAGTCCATCGCCTAAAAGCAAGAAGAACTCCCTTTTTCATTACAGATGCCAGCCAGATTAATAATTAATGATTCAATCAATCATACAACCTTAAAAAATGTACCAATATACTAATACATTGCTATAACTTGACACAGAATTTTGGTAGCATGAGAAACTTAGCTCCAAGTAAGAAGCGTTTTTAGATTCGAGATATATAAACCATGTGTAAATTTCTTTAAAAACAATAACATAGTAGACATAGCAAAGAAGCCCAAAGCATGAATGAAAATATTTTTCAAGTATAATATACCTTCATGGTATTATGTTTAAAAGGAATTTAAAAGAATGTCCTGGAGTATATGGAATTATTTGGATAATTTTTCCAGAGGCCCTATATTGCAAATTTGACAAAATATTCTGAAACAGTGAAGCTTTAGTCAATACAAGTTTTGTTGCATGCAGTCAAACTAGGACTGGATTTTATTCTGGGGGTAGGGTGGAAAGCCTGTTATCTTTGTGAAAATAATAGTGGCCTATGTGTTTCATAATGGGCTGAAATTTGGAGAGCTGATTTCAGGTAATGCAAACAAATGGTTGGGAGGGGTCACTAAAATTGCCTAACAGGACAACATTTCAGACTAGCAGGAGCACTAAATCACACTATTCACACTCCAATTCAATCTGCCATGCTCAGTCGAATTTCACAGGTTTGTTGGGAAGTGAAGAACTGTCTGCTATTGAAAAAAGCATAGAAAAACTAAAGTTGTAAGAGCAATTTTCCAAATGAGGTCTATAACTATGCAAGTATTGGCTTTTTCGCTTAAAATATGTGATTTTATATCATTACAAATGAAAAAATACTAAAGATTGTATTTAACAAAACTATCCTGCAAATATTTTTGTAATAATTTTTCTGAGATTATCTTCACTAGATTCTTATTTTAGTTGGGTCTTCCCTTTGTGAACAAAGTGAATTGACCACCCCTAATGTATCACCTTTATTCACATTTATAAATCAAAAGATATATAGTTTATATTTTTAAGTGTATGTATTTTTAAAAAGCCTTCTTCCTCCACAAAAATAAATAGATAGTTGAGAGTAATTTCTGAGCTGAGTAGTAAGTAAATAGATATTTAGCATGAGGATGTTTTACATGCAGGGAATGCTATGGGACATGAGTGACTTGTTTTAATAATATTTGGTGATGCTAAGGAATAGACTAAGGAATGTGATAAACAGTACACCATATTAGTCATATGCATGAACTTTGAGGCTTTTATATATGGGTTCAAATCCTAGCTTTGCCACTAACCAGCTATGTGATGTTACTATTAGAGTCTACTCTGCTTAAATGGGGGTAAATGTACTATATAAGCATTGTTATTAGGATTAAATTAGATAAATTAGATAATTTGAAGAAATACCTTGTACCCAGTAAAAAAGTTCAATATGTTCAAAATTCAATTTCTTTCTTATTTTTTTTTTCTTTCCCAAGAGAGGCTAGATAAGATTCCAGGATCATCTAGTTAAAACTGGGAGAGCAAACCATTAGGGCAGGAAAAACTGTAGGGTTTTAGGATCCAGATATGTAATAGGCTGCTTTAGGGAACTTCTCTTGAGTGGACAACACCAAAATACTATGGAGTCAGGGGTGACTTGGCTATGTGCAATGCAAGTTTGGCTAGAAGCTAGTCATGGACCTGTTTGTTGGGCAATATGCTAAGTTCTTTGAATACATTATAAATTTTAATATTCCCAATAGCTTTATGAGGTGAGTACTATTAATATCTCCATGTTATAGATGGAGAAAATGAGGCTGAGAGAAGTTAAATAATTTGCTCAAGGACCATATACTTAGTACATGAGTCAGCTAAATTTGTATCTGGTTTGTCTAACTGGTGAGCCTAATATCTTAAAACATTAACTCTATATTTAGCAGTTTCTTGAAATTGAATAATAGCTAGTACATATTTTTTCTTATTTTGGATATTTGGAACTCAGAGTGAAATGATTCTGTTGCTTAGATCAAAGACTACTATCTCATTCCCTCATGTTCCATTCATTCCTTTACCTACCATAAGTCTTCTCATGAATTCTTGAAAAATATATAATTTTGGTTTGCATATGTAAGACTTTTAATATACAGAAATGGTGCTATATTGACTATTTCTTTTTTTTAATTTTTATTCTATGTTTTTAAGACTTATGTTTTAGGAGGAAATCTACCACATAGTAAAACTGCTGAAGGCATATATCATATTTGATCTATTCCACTTGTG